GTTTCGTACCTATCTTCATCAGTTCTACCTGAAAGTAGTATTTAAAACCAGCTCGTCATCTTATAAAATCCCACAGTCTGCGCTAGGGGAAAGCAAACTTAGTGAATCCGATTTCAGAAAGGAGAAAAGGAAAGATACAATCGTGACATATGTTGTTTCGCGAATGCAAACTCAACACATTTTTAAAATGACGTTTATCTTTACATCAGAACAGATGCCAGTTTAGAACCCCTAATTCATCACTTCTAGAGGGCAAGTAGTAATAGAAGACTTAGACCAGCTTTACGTCTTAAGGTCAAAGCGTGATCTCGTGCAAAACTCAGCCTACGGCACAACTTCACTGTAACATCATTCACAGTTCTTTTCCAAAGTTCAAGCTGTATAATGAATGAAACTGACCCACTCTACCCATCGTACCACGTTAACTGTGTGTTCAACGCTTTCTCAGCCTACACCGCCATGATGTTGAACATTTTAACAATCTACGCGATGAGAGTGCCAAAAGCTTTAAAAACATTGCTCCTGAGTCTTGCTGTCTCTGATCTTGGTGTTGGTTTACTGACTCAACCTTTGTGCATCGCTCTGATGGTAAATCCTACTTATTCCGCAATCGTCACAGCTTTGTTTGTTTATGCTTCGTTCTTTATTGTGATGGCCATAAGTGTGGACAGATTCTTGGCCGTTCATCTTCATTTCAGATATCAGGAACTTGTGGTTCACAAGCGTGCTGTTGTTATGAGACCTTATGATAATCTCAATTTTGGTTTTAAGTGTATTTTTGTCATTAGTTGATTTGTTTACCTTTATAACGTGGTTATCGCTTCTATTTCAGGCTATTGTTTTATTATTACCGGAATTATTTATTCTCGAATGTATTTCACTGCACCCATCAAACAAACCAAATGCAAGTCCTCCAAATAGCACAAAATCAAATAGCCAAACAGAAAGTGCTGCGAGGAAGAGAAATATGTTCTACGTATATCTCGTGTTTTTGGTTTTGCTATTTCCCACAATATTGCGTTGGAGTTGCCCGTTTGATATAGTCTCCCCCAAGTACCGCTTTACATGTAACTGGTCTTGGGGTAGGAATCTCCACGTTACAAAGTCGATGCATTCCTTAAAATTAATCCTAAATTTAATTCCAAAAGTACACCCCCGTGATCAGGAGAAATTATGGCTGAAAATCAAGAGAAGATCGAGTTACTTATCTTGATCTTCTTTTGATGAAAATACATCATTATTTATGATGCAAAACCTAACCTAAACATTTACTGGCTTAACAATGACATCCCGACGATGTCGAAACGACGTTTATTGCTTTCGCTAATTTTGTGTTAAAAAATTGTGATAAAGTTGCAAATAATTCATCAAGAATTCAGCGTGTAAAAATTCGAACCACCCTAGCCTGCAACGATGTCTACAATAGTTGCGGAACATTTGATCATCTCGGCTTCATTTATAGAATACGTGTAAAAATAAAACATGGCCATGACGTATTTGGATATCTGACCTAATTAGCATAGGTTTTTACGATTTTATTTCTCCATTTTCCACTTAGTTTTAATTTCGATTGAGAAGATATACCAAACACTTGAGACAGCCTTAAACCAAGTTTCTAACACCTCGAAGTTTGTCAAAAAGACGCCGCTACGCGTCGTTTTCCAACTCTCTTTTTGGTGTTTGGAAATGTGGTCAAACACAGTCTCGCCGTCTTTCGATGTATTATTAAATCTCGATTCAAAGGAGCCAACCGGTTTTCAGTCAAACGGGGACAGGTCCAGGACAGGTGAGGCTGTCACTAAAAACATATCACGTGAAACTGAGCTAATGAGCAAAAACAGTCAATTTATATTAAGATAAAAGTTAGGACTTTGAACAGTAGACAAAAAGGATCAAAAGTTTTTTAAAACGTTTTTCTTGAAAGATTGTTCTTTTTTGCGCTTATTTGAAATAAAGGTGCACGTCTTTTGCGGAGCAAGTCACTATCTGAGCCATAATTAGAATGCTTGGTCAGGAACAGCCATCTGTTTTCTTTTAAGTTGTTTTTCGGTTAAAAAAACAAATCGTCTTTAGTTTTAAATAATATAGATATTAGTTTTAAATGTACCTTACACAACTTACTATGGCCATTTCGAAAGCTAAATGGAGTCCAAATCCCACCTTTCTATGGTATCCAAATTCAAATTGAAATTCAACTTTTTTCAATTTTTCTATATTCAAATGAAATTCAAATTCAAGTTTAACACCTTTTTTAACTGACATTTTGATGGAAAATGCAAAATTAAAACGTCAAATCTGGTATATGAACGTCTAAAACGTACCTTAGATTGAGTTTTATTTCACTAGGTATTTTCGTCTCTCTGGCAATAG